AGAGAGAGAGAGAGAGAGAGAGAGAGAGAGAGAGAGAGAGAGAGAGAGAGAGAAGAGAGGTGTGACGGGACGAGGGGCGCGTCGATAGCCCGTTAAAATGTATCGCGCGCGAAATATATCTCGCTGATAAAACTTGCCGACAGGTGAAAATAAACTTCGCGGAGGATGGACGGCGTCGGCGTCGCGAAAAATGGTCTTCTCGCGAGAATCGGCCGTGATCTTGAGTAAGTTCGCTGAGGACGATCTTTTACGCTTCCCCGACGGAGGGAGAATCTCAAAACAGTCTCGCACGCTTCAATACCTTCGACCTCGGTGCGAGACAACGGTTCGGTTCGCATGGAACTTCGTGGCCCTTAAAAGTCTTACGATCATACTTCTTGCTTGATTTTCACACAACACGACGGTTCTTTTACTGTCTCTCGAGTTCTCACTGCATTCATGGAAAGACTCTTCGTATAATTTCTTTCTAACAAAGTAAAACTACAACAATCGGTATAAATTAATTCCGTTCAAAATTAAGATAAACAAACGGACAAAGTTCATTTTCAGATAGACAGGTGTACGTCAATTTCGTATGGCAATTTTACTGATCGATATGTAGAGGTTGCTCCTTTATAAGAGTAATTTATATGGCACTCATATTTATCACGTGAAATGATAGAACACAATTGTAAGTAGACTTTCATGACTATTACGATGTAGGACAATCGATAATGGAAATTTTATAATTGTTTTACTTACATACATGAAGCAAATTTATTGTGTTGAATTAATCATTAAATTTATATCACATAATAATGTAAATTTTTTATTATATTGATATGATAAAAAATTCATTGCAAGTTACATTCAGATTTTCATATTGCATTTTTCATGACATATTGGTTTGGGCATATTTTAGTAATTAATTTGTATTTCGTGATTTCGTATGGCGAATACGAATATCATATGCACTACTTATAAGGAATGCAACCTTAACAAATCGATAAACAAAGTTGCTACCAAATTTACGCGCACCTGTCTATTTGAGGAAATACAGCAGAAATATGAAAAAAATAAGCAAAATTTACTCTAAACAATATTTCGTGTAATTGATTCGTATTTCGTGATTTTGTATGGCAAATACGAATATCATATGGATTACTTATAAGGGATGCAACCTTAACAAATCGATAAACAAAGTTGCTACCAAATTTACGCGCACCTGTCTATTTGAGGAAATATGGCAGAAGTACGAAAAAAATAAGCAAAATTTACTCTAAACAATATTTCGTGTAAAATATAATATGGAAATTTGAGTGCAACGTTTTCGTTTTCAAATTCATGGCTGCATTAATATAAAAAAAATCACTAATGTATGATGTAATGTATAATGTATAATCACTTATTAATATGTGATGTAAATTTAGTTAGATTAATTTTATACAGTAAATTTGCTTCATGAATGCAATTAAGATAATTGTAGAGTTATCATTAACGATTGTCTCGCGCCATGATTAGCCATAAAAGTCTACATTTATGTGCGTTGGGGCTGCTGCCAAGTACGAGACATCCAGGAAGAAGAAAATAATGTTTATACGTGCGAGCAGCAATGCAGTCGCTTCAAATGTGCGTTATATTACGTATTAGCACGCACACACATACATATGACCCTGTAATGTTTTATCGAGCGATAATCATTCGCCGACGATCGGACGCACATATCGGGTTATAAAGTTAAGGGGTCGATAAGGCGAATGTGAATTCCACGATAACGAACTTTTAACGGTTGACTGCCTTCAAAACCGCGGAAGTAGATAATAACGAGATTCAGCAGCGACCCGGGAAATTCAGCAATTTTTCGTCCCGTAAAACTCGAGTTATCGACGATCGTGCGCCACAGTAAAGACGGAATTTAAGAAAGCGCAGCACCTGAGAACACTGAACCCGTCACGACGTCGCCGCCGCTGTCGTCGTCGTCGTCGCAATCCGCGTCGATGGCTCCTCGTCGTCTGTGACAAGAGGATCAACGGATTTTGATGTTCGATTGAGCCTGTTCTGGCTCGGGCTCGAAATATGCGCGCAGCAGTCTCGCAAAGTACGAAAATGAATTTTGCATTTTCGCCTCATCCGCCGCTCGCTGCCGTGACTGCTAAGAGCTAATTCGATTTCCCGCGCTTGCAGCTGCAGCTGTTGCAACCGCGTTCGCGGATTTTCGAATATCCGTCACCGCCGCGGCATTCACTGTCGACGGAGAGCTCGGCGCGAAGCAGCTTCCGGAATAATTGAGAGACTTCAAATTTCATCGTGCCACTTTCGACAATCATGTTTCGACATTCAAGGAAACAAGAATTTCCCGCCGTTCTTCCACGAAAGATCGTCGACTTACGGAGGAGTCATTATAAGAATTTTAAATTGAATATTTATATCTTATCCGGAAAGAAGAAAAGAAATAAAAAGATTCTCTCTTCGGCATGCTTGGTCTCGTAAAATGCGCGTGATACTTTTCTGATATATTACATTCGTTAGATTCTGGAGACCGCTTGAGCGATTTCGTCGCGCAAACTTTGCGCGAAATTCTCGACAACTTGAAAGTTTCCACGACGCATTCCTCGCCTCGCTATTTGCAAAGCTGGGTTTAAGTAAATGAAATTCCGTGTGACTGCCGACAAGTATCGCAGATTTTAACCAACTGAGGCGTGCCGCTCTTTGACGTACAAACTGCGCGTAATGAAGAAACTTTCTGATATTGCCGTACGATTCCTATCAAGATTGCTCAAGAGTGAAATGTCACGGCGGGAAGAGCCAAAATCACGCCTTCCACCGACGGCGATCGTTTATTGGACTTCGCTAAATAGATTTGTATTTCATTAGTCCGCTTTCTGCTAATTCTAATCCGAATATACACGCGCTTAAAGATCTACCGAACAACGGGCGCGCCCGACGAGCGCGGAGCTCCGCCGACATATTTTAAGGAGATTGTGAAGCGAAATGCGTTTGATAAAAATTCATTGAGACTTGTACTACATATGAATTGAGATATTATGTAACTGCTCGTGCAGTTGGAAAAAGAATGAACATTCGCGAAAGTTGAGATATTTGAAACCAAAATTGACACTTTTTATACGTGTCCCTTCGGCTTGGCGTGACCATTTTTAATTTCTAGTAAACATTAAAATTAATATTTACACATAACATTATACATGCATTTCAGGTTTAGTAACCGTTTTGTTTGTAAAATATAGCGGTGGAAAGTTTATAATAATACTGGAGGTACATGTACACGTATATACAGGGTGACACCGAACAAGGCGGCCAAACTTCGGTACCGTATTCTACTCTTCCTAAGAATGAGAAAAAGTCATATAAACATAGGTTCGGAAACTCGTCCTTTTTTATAGCTGCATTTGATAAAATTTGGAATACATCAGGAATTTTTGAACGTCTTCGCAACGTTAATATGAAGCATGTATTGTTGCAGAAGGAAATCACTTCCAGCAATTTCTTTAAGTAAGCTTTAAACATTCCTACAATACTCAATTATAAACAAAAAAGTATTTGTATCTCGAAAAGGACGAATTTCCAGACCTATGTTTATATGACCTTTTTTCATCCTTCGGAAGAGTAGAATACGGTACCGAAGTTTGGCCACCTTGTTCGGTGTCATCCTGTATATTTATCTCTTTGTCTGTGTATCTCTGTTAGATCAAGTGATGCACAAATAAAGCATTAATAAGAAAAATAAAAAAAAAAAAAATATATATATATATCTTAAGCTTGTTTCAAATTAACACTTATCAGTTAAATAACTAAATAAACATATATAAACGTAATTTTGTTCAATAAATAGTATGTTTGTGAATCCCCTTGAGATGCGCCACGAAATCGAGTCTTGCAACCCCATTTCGGCGGCAAATTTGGCGGCCAATTTTGTCACAAAATTCCATCGACGAAATCAATAATTCCGACTCTCGGGCGAATCGAATTTCGCGGAGTCTGCCTTAACGCAATGTTCCTGTAACTACCGAGCGTTATTAAGTTACCCATACGTCCGTAAACACGTTAATCAGACGCGATTAACATTTCCCGACCGGCATCGGCCCTTAACACCCGGCACCATGTAACGGAGCGCCGGTGTACGCGGCGAACGGTAAGGAGAGGATGTCCTTGTAACGAGTTAATACCTCCAGATCGTTACGGCAGTTACTGCAAAGCCGGTACCTAATTAATCCGCTTTTGAAACGTTTTAGCGTACGGCAAAGCTGACGGTGAGCAAGGAGGCACGCTTAAAGGAGCCGCTCCCGGGGGCTACGTAAAATTATTAAGCGAGTCTCCCCGCCCACCTTTGCCCCCCTTCCCCCTCACCGTCTTGGTCCCCCTCATCATCACCCGGTCGTCTAGACGACTTCGGCGGGTAAAATCGACGCCTCCTCCATCTCTCTTAATTACTGTTTTTCTTTCTCATTTTTTCCTCTCTTTTTTTCGTCTCTTCTCTTACTCTCATCGCTAATACATATCTAGTGTCTAAGTATGTACATATATATATTTATATATATTTTTTTTACCTGCTATCGGAAATCGTTCCTCCCCTTCTGACGCTGCGTCCAACAATAGAGCGATATGTAATTTGGGAAGGCAAAAATTTGCAGAGTTTACGCACATCGCATGCAGACACAACGTCAAACGAAACTCATTCGAAAGTCCCATTCTCTTGTTCGGGAATATTTCGACTTTCTCAGTGAAAAATTTGCACATGTGATTGCGAATTCAATGAATTTCTCTTACGGTTATTCATTGATTCTAATACCTCGAATTGCCGGTAAATGTTTAACTAATTAATTCGTAAAGAAATATGTGAAAATTTGCCTGCAAAGTTGCTTGCAATAAAACAAAAATCAGAATATCTACATGCGCGCGTGAACCTAGTAATCTCACCATTAGCTTCGAGATATTCGTAACAGGCGAGTCAGAATTGCGCTGGCATGTGAAACTCTCGTTTTGCTGATTTGAAAGGTAAACGACCATCAACGAACAAGACCCGTTCAAAGTGCGAAGTTGTGCGATCAGCGCGGCGGCTATAAAGATAATTCGCCCCGCGAAATCCCGGTAGTCGCGAAATGGGGAGCTACGAGTCAATTAAGCGTGCACGAAAACGTCTTTCGGATGAGTTTACGTAGCTTTTCCGTTGCTTCACCTAACTCGACTGTAAGAGGTTGTAAAAGCTGCCAATTCGTCAAAATCTATTTCGCGCAATCGTACAAATTTATCAAAAATTCTGGGACCGTTCGAAGCGAGTGAAATCAACGTCGTGCTCCGCGAACCTAATCGCTCAAGAGCGAGTGACAGCACACGAGAAAATTCGTTTACCTCCAACCCGTGGGAAAAGAATTCGTGCTCTTTCTCGCGCCCCATCGATCGGTCGCGGAAGAGTTTTGTGCGAAAGAAATTTATTCACGACAGACGCCAACAGTATCGCGCGTGCCACATTTCCTTGTTAAGTCGTACTCACGTTTGAGCTGGACGAAGGTCAGCTGATCGATGGCGCGACGCAGCGGCTTGTCGTCCAAGGTGAGGTCCAATAACGGCAGACGGGCGATCTCCTGCACCCCCTCGGCGCCACCCCAGGAACCGGCGGCAGTGGCTGCCCGGACCGATAGCATGCCACCGATTTGTAGAAAGGCCGCGCTGTCGGTCTCCTTCAGCGCCTCGATGCAGAAGGTCAGTAGCGCGGTGGTCGCCTGCAGGTGCGTCGCGCATCTCGCCACCTGATCCCGCAACGAGCGCACCCTGGCCTCCCTGGTCTGTCGAGCGGCCTCGATTAGCCGCGACTTTCTCGCCTGCAGCAGGCTCACCAGATTCGCCACTCGATCCTCGACTTCCTCTTCAAGCGCCACGCACTCCTCCTGCGAACAGTCCGATTGATCCCCGTCTGGATAATAGTTCTGGTAATATTGTCTATGGAACTAATGTGTTCTTTTTTTTCTTCGAACGTCGAAGATAACAAAGTCGCGTAGAATAGGTTCTTGACATTCTAGCAAAGTGAGACAGTCCAACTAGCAGAGACAGTTAGTAGCTTTGTTTTGTAGCATTAAGAAATAATAACCTTAGTCTAGTTGTGCAACGTTGTTTTTATGACATTGTTTTATATATCTTATGGACAATTTGTGATATATCTAACTCTAATTCGTAATGGATGTTCCAATCAAATATACTACCTTTTAATATCAACATATTGTATATTAAGAAAAAAATCTATGAAACATAAAATATACATGGGTACTAATAAGATATTTATTAAATCTAAATTCTCTCATTTCAGTAGAATAAACAATTGTTTAAAAAGCTAAGGTTTTAAGAAAATATACAATGTAAAAAATCTTGCGTCCACGGTATGTAAACAAATGTTACGAAAAGTCCACTCTAAATTTTGTATCGAAAATAACTCATTTATATGTTTATTCGTGTGTTATTTATATTATCTATACATAATGTAAATAACACACGAATGAACATATGAATGAGTTGTTTTCGACATAAAATTTAGAGTGGACTTTTTGGAACATTTGTTTATGTATGCAAGATGTTTGTGTATGCAAGATTTTTTAGTGTATATTTTCTTATTTAAAAAATATGTTACAGACACACATTAGTATAAATAAATATGTTATTAATATTCACCGAGTAAATATTTTTTATTTCTTAGATATTTTTTCTCTCAGTGTAATCACTATTAACCATCTGCGTACAACGTTGATTTTGATTTTAATCACACGCTTATCTCATAATTGAGATTATAGAAAAGTTGAAGTTCTCCTGTGTCCAAAAATATTAATTTTTAACAAAGTCATATAGGATGATTCAAAGTTGCACGACAGACTCAAATTGCCCTGTACATCGTAACAAATATATTGCTCAAATATAATTGGAGATTTGATAAGCTGATGTATCAAGTTTAAAAGAAAAATATGGAAATGTTTCTCTATAAACCTACATCAGAGTTATCGCAAAGAACTAATTGTCAATTCAAGATTCTCGACGTATTTCTCTATACCTGCATGCATATAGGCAAGGCTTGAACCTTGCACAGAATTTTATAAGGAAATACGATGCCAAATCGATTAACGCGGCGCTCATGTATAAATGCGAAGGAAACAGACGACGATATCAAAAGGAATCTCGCCCGACGGTTTATCGAGCTTTGTTCACCGGCCGTAAGCCGCCCCGGTGTCCTTTGTGTTTTCGAATTATCCCTTCGGCCATCAGAGATAAATTCGTACCGGCGCTTCTATCCCGCGCGCGGAGGGTTGATGTAATTAACGCCATATCTCCTTCGCGCAATTTTCATGGTACCGCACAGCGTGACGTACCCGTCGACGCGGAATTTAAAAAGGACGCCAAAGGCGCGCGTACTCACGTGCACTTTATCCGTCATTCCTTTGAGCCTTTGAATGAACTCCGTCGTCGAGCGGGCCCTCTCCGACAGCTGCTGCAGATTCTGCGACAGCTCCGTCTGTAACAGCAGAAATTCGCGACACGTGAGGGAACGTGTGGTGATTCGAGGGAGAATTCGGCGGACGTGAGATGGACGTAACGCTCGTGCGATTGAAAGACACCGATGCAGAACGAAGGGAGCTTCGTTTTTCGCGAACTTTCTCTCCGGCAACAGAAAATGCGAACTTTGTTAAACTAGATAAAATTGCATCACGCACTGTTAACTCAATTAAATCCTAGATTGAATTGATATTATGTATACCATATTAAATTGATTATATTATTATATCATATTGATTATATTAATATATTTTATTATTATATCATATTGATTGAATTTATATTATAATATACCATATTGATTGAATTGATATTATATACTATATCAAATATGACAAATAACTTAATATGTACGCTTGTTGTACTTTTATATGTATAGTTGTATGTTTGCATTTTTACGAATACGAGTATCGACCGCAATAACGTGATATGAAAATATTATAACGTGACGTCTAAAAACAAAAAAAAATATATATACATATGTATATATATATTTAGACATAAACGTCCGGGAATTATGAGCTTATAAATTACATGTCGACACGGAAAAAAGAGATGTGGTGCACCTAACAAAAAATATTTAGTTGTAAGCAAATAGCTGCATCATTTTACATATCTTTGAATGATAGTTATGTATATGGTTGATTTGACTTACTTACTTTGGTGTGTCAACTACATCAATGAAGTTGCGTGGTCTGGTTGTGGCAACCAGAAATTTGTAAGGGGATCGTTTTGCATAGACAAGCTAAATATCGATATAGTTGCATTAATCAATGCTATATTGCAAAGCAGCGATGTTAGAAAACAAAAGCAATTCACTACGCGCACAGCTAGAGATGTATACATGTGAAAACTGGTTCTGAATGTATAAATATACATTTGTAGTTGCCGCGTAATGAGCCGCGTTTGTATTAACCAGCAATTATCATTGCTGCAACATAAGTAACTTAGCCATTGCTCTTTGGTTACAGCAAAATAGTTGTTCCGTATTTTACTATTGAATCTGGTTGGCACAACCAGATTTCTGTATGGATCAACCATATTGTTTTTTTCGTGGATAAATAATAGCATGGACGGCTAAAGGCCATCACACACAAAATTCCGTAAGAACTTAAAACGTAAGCGTAAAGAAATCGATCAATCCTAATCGAGCACTCGGCTCTTCGTAACCCCTCCATTATTACGAAGAGCCGAATACTCGATTGGGATTGGTCGATTTCCTTACGCTTACGATTTAAGTTCTTACGGAATCTTGTGTGTGATGGCCTTAATGAAGACGGATTATGTGCAATACGAGCAATCGATATTGGATCGATATGTCGCGCTGATTGTAGTTGATAAACAGTTCCCGTGCAGAACATATATGCTACATATATGCAAACAGTCGCAGTCGCAGGCATTCGCGAAACAAGCACACGGATATTAAATACATATCCGTTGTATGTTCTATAACGGCGTAAAGTGCTCTTCTTTCGCTGCTGATGCAAGCAATATAACGTTATTTCGACAGATAAAATCTCTGGGACTAATGCTGCAATTCTAAGCAGAATCATAAGTCTCGTAACTTGTTCTCGTAAAATTCGTCAGAACTTATGAGTAGATTTATGTACAAGTCTATGCAATATCATATGTCGTACAATTACTCGTAAATATCTACGATTTTGTGTAATTTACGATATTTACAAGTGATTGTACGATATATGATATTGCATAGACTTGTAAATCTACTTATAAATTCTGGCGAATTTTACAAGAACAAGTTACGAGACTTACGATTCTGCTTAGAATTGCAGCATAAATCCAAGATGCACCGTCTAGCATGATTACTTGATTTTAGCATTAAATACCGAGATAAAAGCAGAATTTAAGATATTTTTTTTATGGATTTGAATATTATGTACATTTAAGAAAATTACACTATATTCAATACGTATAAATCAAAGAAATCTCTCTCTCTTTCTTCCTTAAATCTTGGTTTATTTAATACAGTAAATAATTATTTCCAGATCTACACGCGCGATCCTGGTCAAACTGAAGAAAAAAGTGCTCTACCATTTTGCAAATAACATAGATTTTTGAGTTAATAATTAAAGAAGTTTAGCAGACAACACAATTGCGTGCAATTTTTCACTAATCCTCTTTAATTAGTAATATGAAAATCTACGCGTTATTTGTAAAATGGTAGAGGATTTTTGTATTCAGTTTAACTTAATCTATCTGTATACTACCGTATTTTCGTAGTGAATTATCAAACGTTTTCTGTATAAACAGAAAACGAATGAACGAGAAATCTTCTTTTAAACTTTAAGTCAAAATTACATAGGATCTTTATTTAATTTTTTTTAATAAAATATTGAGAGTTTGTTTCTCTCTTCACGTTTATTGTGGCTCATGTACGCCCTACCTTATTAACTTTATTGATTTACAAATGATTCCTTTATTTAATTTTCTTCCTACGAAGAATAGACGCGCGCGAGAACGAAATACTTGGAATTTAGCCGAAAGAGTGCGTCAGTTTCTGGATCTTGCGGATTTTTCGGGATTTTCACTTGTAAAGTAGTTCGGGACTCATCATTGTGCTATCTACACAAAGAGCCGCGCGCCACGCCTTATTCATTTATGTAAAATACTTTACACCGTTCGGGACTAATAACATTACGGCGAACGCGACGGGGAAACTTATAATCTGGTGGCCGTGCGCATTTACAAGTGCGATTTAATTTATCGTTTTACACGACGGGAATGAGTCGACGGCCGTCTCGCAATATCGCGCGGATCGTTCCCACAGTTCTCGTTTATCATTTTCCTCATTTCTCGACTTTCCTCGCCGGACAATACCTTCAGATCGATCGAGCGGACGGACGGTGCACTTCGTCGAATTCACCGGAGACCAGCGCGCGGCGGCAGTTTCCATTTAACACGACAATGCGTGGTGGCCGAAATGGGATGCGATCGCGTATGCACTATGCGCGCGATACACGACGGCACACACCGGCATTCATCAGGCAAGACGTGGATTTACTTGCGCGAGTTCGCGATAAAGCCCCCGATGGATCACAGGAAAATTCCGGGCGACGTATAATACATACGACGATATGAAGATTGATAGAAGCGCGAATGTCCAACATGCTGCCGATGATACTCCGCCTTAAATTCGTCACCGACTCCGCGCCGTTGGGCACATGAGGACCATGGCACATAGAAAAACTTGAGCAGCAAAGCAATGAGCAAAGTGACCGATCACAGTCGCTGATTCTTGGGCCGTAAGAAGAATCATCAACTGTCAATTTTGGTCAATTTACTTACTGTTTACATCTTACTGCTTAAGTTTTCTAGGCTCTCACAAATTTTCGTAACCGTAGACGTAAAACGTAAACTTAAGCTGAAGTATCAAACAGAATATTGCTTTTCTTTATGTGCCCTAGAAGAAAATAGAAATAATAGTGTAACTAAAACTTTGAGTAATTAGAATTTCAACCGGTTGAATTCTACTTCTACATAACAATCAGTTTTACCATCAGTTCTATCTTCTATAGTACGCGAAGATAAAGCAATATCCTGATTGGTTCTTCAACTTAAGTTTACATCTTACTTCTACGGTTACGGAAATTTGTGTGCGAGAATCTTAAAACCGCGCGCGCGTTCTCTCTCTCTCTCTCTCTTTCAATTGAAAGAGGCACTCCTCGCTCCAATTTTATCACTTTGGAACATTTACCCGGGAGACTTTCATTCTTCGTGCGGACAGCGCAACACGGATCAAAAATTAAAATTAATTTCATCGGGTTCCGCCGACGGAATCGCGTAATCCAATCCGTGGAAACTCGCGTTGCCTCTCGCGTCCGCGACCGCGCGCATCGCGCCCAAAATATCGAATTAGCGGAGCCGACAAAAGCACCGTCGGGCGATGCGCGGCAGCGCCCGAGACGCCGTTTCCCTTTGTACCGTTTCTCTTTCTCCCGTTGTCTCCTCCACCGCTGAACACGCCGGCCCTTTCCCCTCGCTTTGGCGCGTATCCATTGGGCGCGACCGGCGAAATCTTATTAGCATGAAAAGAGCTCTCGGGGATTTCATCAGGGCGACGAGGTATCCTATCCACCCCCATCCATCTACCCCCTGCCGTAGGCGAGAGTCCCTCGATCGATTATCTCGCGAACATCTCGCGCTCGAAACATCTACGAAGGTCGCCGGCTGTGATCGATGAAACTTCCACGTGTTTCGCCCCCTTCTTTCGCTTTGATTATTAGAAAGTGTAAGGGGAGGGAATTTTATGATTTCTTATCTAATTTGCTACATTTACTTGACGGAAGAAGTTATAATTAGCTGAACATTTTTCTTAATTATAATAAATTATGACTGATAATTAAAGCTTAAACTACCCTGTGTTGCCCAAGTTATCACAAAATATCAAAGGAATGAAATCAAGGGGAGGGGATGGGGTGTCCAGGTTTCACGGTAGCTTATATTTTTCGTGGAGTCTTAGAAAGTAACTATGCAAAATTTAATCTAGATCGGTCATAAGATTTAGGGATAATAAGAAACATATACAGACAATGTAGTTCACACACACACACACACACACACACACACACACACACACACACACATCGTTAACGCTGAAGCAGACGCATGAATACGCGCATATCAAGCTTCTTCCACATCCCGCACTGACGATGAAATGCAATGAATTTGCGATTCAGCGATCTCTCGTGAGTTAAAAGTCATCGCAACTTAACGGACGCGATACGAGAGAGTAGAATTTGTGTAAGAAAATTTCACAGGCAACGTTTCGACGAAAATACGACGGCGCACGTGATGCTTGTATCAAGTCTCCCCTTCTTGTGCTTCCTTTTCAGACGCGACCATTGGGATGTTAATTAAATCTTTTACATTTCAACAACACAATACACGTGCGAGAGGAAATTATTCGTCCGCCGGGTCACTCACTGTTGTCCACCGAGT